CGGAACCAGATTAAAGTTCACCCAGTCAAACTAGAATTAACTTATGCCACTGAGAATAGCTGGTCTCTCCAGAAGAGCCCCCAGACCTCTTGAACACCCCAGAGTAAGAAGGGAAAGGGCAGAAGTCTTGGAAGATCCTGCAGCAGAACAAGTAACTCTGGCTGCTGCCAGAGGCTCAGTTTTGAGACAGCTAGGCCTGGGGCTACAACCAAGGACCTTGTACGAAAACCAGAAGGCCTTCTCCCCAGAAGAGACTACTGCTGGTCTAATTTAGTTGTTTGAAATCATCTGGTAATGGTAAAGCCAGAAGGCAAGGACAACACAGTGCTGGTTTAAGTCCATCCCTTTCTTAAGCTCCGTTACACTAGAAATGGCTCAATACAGAAAAGATGCAGATTCTTCCTAAGTGAACTTATAAATTCACACAAATAAAATCGTCTTACTACGGGAACACATGTTATGTATGAATGCGTGTTTACACAGGGATAGAAATTTGGAAGAACATACGTTACACTGGTAACGCCTACAGTAATTAACCGTAAGAAGGTCTCTTACCTATTTTTTTTCCTACATTATCGGGTTTATAGTAATAGAGAGTAATCACGATTTACTTGTATTAGTAAAATAAAATGTCTTAACATAGATATTTCATGTACTAGAATAAGATAAAATGATATCAAGTTAACATGGAAGAATAAATGTCTAAGAACGGTCAACTATTGAAATGAATAGTGATAAATAAAACTTAAAAATGAGTTATTGAAACCACCAGAACCAAGCAACATAAAATGGCAAATACATCAGAAATGAAAACAGAGCCCAGCAACAAACTAATATTTGTAGACATCTGCAATGACAAAAGTGGTGACAAAACGGGGGGTGGGAGGAGGTTTACTTGATAAACTGTGCTGCCACGACAGCTATGCATCTGGGGGAAAAAATGAACCTAACTATCTATACCTTCCAGGTAACCTGGTCCATGCCCTAGAACAGCTTAGATGAGCCCATGAGGTCTACATAACATAAAACATTCAAAGAACAAACAAATGCCAAAGCACGTAATCGAGAATAAGAGAACTGACAGAAAAAAAAAAAAAAGATGGTCGGTGGAGCTTAAGTCCCTAACCTCACACCTCAGATGACAACAACTGGGGCAGTTAACTCTCTAACTAGGAGGCAACTGAGCCCTGCCTTCCCTTGGGAGCACCCTTAGCTCAGAAGACCAGAAAGGGGCTTCAAGTGACTCCTGGGGGCAACTCTGGCCTTAGGAAGCCTAGGATAAAGCTCTCCTCATGAATGAACCAAGACTAAGAAAAAAAAGCTCAGATTCAGCATAGCTGTGCTTCTCCGACATCACACAGCCTTGCCTTTTTCAGCCCAGGATTCACCTGCGTGCCTCCAGAACACCTGGGACGCACTGAGAGGAGGAGAGAGCGATTCGTTTCCGTGTACTGCGTGTAAGCAAAGAATTCCAAGGGGTAAAAATCGCCTTTGCTCTGGGGGCCTAGATAATCTTATCACCTTAAAATGTCACTATCTTGATATCCTTTAATAAGAACTGTTCAGACTAAGAAAGAATTTTGCTCATCTATGAAATTCCAAAATATTCATAATGAAAAGCAAATGTGTTTACTTCTAAAAAAGTGTTTTTTGCACTTTCTTTCTAACTTCCTTTTCTACCTGAGAATAGTTTAAACTATGAAGAAATAAATGGTGAACACTAAGGCGCTCTGGCTGTTCATGTGTTCTCCCAACCTAAGCTCTGTCCTCTTACTAACTGATTGATTCGTTCAACCAATACTCACTGAGCGCCCAAAGGATCTTCATGAGGAGCAATGAAATGTAAAGACTCCCGAGGTAAAATCTCATTTGCAAGATAAGGTGACCGCTCCTGAATAAACACTAGTAGTCTGGCACACAGGCAGACACTATTTGATGTCATTATTATAACCAATACTAATACCAGGCTCCAAGCAAATGAACTGAATAATCAATCTGAAATCTATGATTATCTATGAGAGCACGTAGTACCAAAATCAACATAAGGAACAGTAAAAAGAACCTTGAAGGGATAACAATTGATAACAGTAACTAACAATTGATAATGTTATCAAATCACAACCTGGACAACAAGCCAGGGATATAGCTGGTTTCATGGCTGTTAACACCAAATTTTTTAAGGACCAGAAAATTCCTGTGCCATTTAAATGTTCCACAGAATAAAAAACAATGAAAACCACCCCTTACTTTGTTATTTATTTCATGAAACCAGTATAATGCTGATACCTAAATTCCACGAACAAATTTATCAACATGAAAAATCTAGATAACAGTAAATCGAATCTAACAGTGTATGAAGAGAATATGCAATGATCAAGTGATGTCCTTCTCCCCCTAGGAACGCAAGGATAGCTAAATAATCAGGAAATAATTAAATATAATTCAGGACATGAATTATAGCAAGGAGGAAAGCTCTACAACTTTGGCTTCAGATGCTGAGATCGCATCAATAAAATTCAGTATCTACTCCTGAATTAAAAAAGTTTCCTAGCATAATAAGTAAGCACTATGAATCAACAGGCAAATCATTCAGCGAACCTGAAACTAAAATACTAGGAATATTTTCATTAAAGTCAGGAAGGAACCAGACAGAATAGCAGCTATAATTATTATTATCAGCCATATTTTTATAGGCAATATAACAATAAAAAGACACATATCTGTTAGGAAATATAAGACTAAAATCATGATCATCTGTAAAAGAAAACTTATTAAAATCAGTTGAAACTAAATGTTTAGAAGGGACTACTTATTTACTGACTAAAATAGACTCTTTCCAAGTTGAAATACTGATAACAAAGTATATTTAAAAGAAATTCATTAGTAACTAAAAGTTTTACATAAGTACCTCAAAAGGCTTAAGAATCACAAACTTTTGAGATTTCCCTTGAAATAAATCAAATTAAATATGCTAGTAAAACTCTTCAAAGACTTCTGACCCCTCAGGTAACCCGCATTACTAGGAAACACACACACTCTCTCATTCAAACCACACCGACTTCCTATCTACCCAGCAGTCAACCATGGCGGAACTAAAACCAGTTCAGATAAAAGCTAAATATCATTTTCCTCATGTTGTAAAAAGAGGAATATCATATCTCTTCTTATAATATATCCCCGAAATTTTAAAGATTTAACCATATGGAAGAGATCTGAAAGTGTATTAAGAAAAGGCTAAAGATTTAGAATCCTAATTCAATTTCCCCTCACATTTTAACAGGAGCCTGTAGCAAACATTTACTTTCAGAGAGATTCTCAGTACAAAATTGAACAAAAGGCTATTGTGTGTTAAACATGTGAGGACTTTCTGGCCCCGTCTATGCCAACTTTTCAAATATCACACTGGAATTAAATTACCTTAAACTTTAAATCAACTGTTTCCAGACCACAAAATCTATTCCACACGTATTAGTGTGAGTTCTCCAAGTGAGTAATAGCTGAGTTCGAAAGGGAAATACACATTTTTCAGGTGCCAGTGCAAGTGCTTCCCTTCAGACCTTGCCTATATCCACTGACTTGTTCAAGAACGCCATGAGCCTTCACCTCCTCCCCCAACAAGAGTTCCTCTCTGCATTAGATAAATCTGATTCTATCATTTCTGATGAAAAACACATGGGTATCAGTCACACCATTCTCTACTTTTTTCCTATTAGATAGGAATTACAACTTTTTCTCTAAGTTAACAGTTAAAAAAGATGAAATTTACAGGCCTGTCCTGGTCACTATAAACATCACTATGTTTTAATTTGTAATTTGTGTCTTATCACGGGCCTACTAAAATATAAAAGGAAATGAGAGATTATAATTAGTGGTATAGTTGTTTTAAACCATGTCCACAAATTCGTTGACATGTCTCCATCAAAAGGTGGCGTTAGTCCCCTCCCTCTGGATATGGGCCTGCCCTAGTGACTCACTTCTAATAAAGAGAATGTGGCAGAAGTGAGGCTGAAGGCTTTGGAGCTGACAGAGCTTCCTCCGGCCTCTTCCCCCTGGGATGCTCACCTGCAGAACCCAGCCACCAGGCCGTGAGGAAGCCAAGCAGCCATATGGAAGGCCACACGTTCCTGCCCCAGTCACACTCTCAACCAAGGTCCCAGCAGACAGTCAGCACCAACTGTCAAACACGAGTGAAAAGAGCCTTCATATAATTCTAGCACTTCAGCTGTCCCACCAAACCACTCCCAATTACAGATTCATGAGAAAACAAAAGGTGTCTCTGTAGTAAGCGACTAGGCTTTGGGTGGTCTGTTATGCAGCAACGGATAACTGGAACATATAAATCAGTTCAACCAAATTCAGCCACCCATCTTATGCTTCCCTCTCATTTCAACACCCACCTCCAAAGGAGGCAAAACTGTTTTAAGTTTAAAAACAAAACACCCAAAAAACAAAAACCCAAACTGTGCTGACATACCTGGGGTCTCAAACAAGTCAGCAGAGCAGCCTAATGGCTGGAATCCCAGCCTCCATTACCCTCAGCTGCCAGCTGGCTTCCTCTCGAGCTCTTTGCTTTCCACTTAGTAACAAACCAAAATCCTTGGCCTTCTCCTCCGTCCTGCCTTAAACTTACTCCTAGCTTTGAAAAGCTGCTTTCATTAAACACCTGGTTTATGAGATTATTGCTACTGCTACATATGCTCCAGTTCTGAAATCAGGAAACAAGTGAAATGTGTCTAAAACGGTAACTCTGACTCTAAGGCTAAAGGAACCCCAGCTTTGAGTGGAGGTGACTTGAGGAGTATTTTCTTTTAAAACAGAACTACTATAATTCACAGCAAGTTACTGATCTATATGCTAATTACTCAAATGCATGAAGTTAACATCTAAGAACATGAGAAAAGAAGACCCCAGTCATTTCCTTCAGAGATTTCACTATGGTTGTGACCAGTCAGGTAACCCCTCAGGATGGAGTACACATGTGACACACAGCACCACCCTACCTAGCACGTTTCCTGGAGGCACCTCTTCTAGGTCTTCCAGTTCCCTGCCCATCAGAAGGTACAGGTGTTCCAGAGTGCAGCATGCCATGTGGGGGATGGGGGGCAGGTCGTCCGGTGGAGCTGAGAAGCCTAATGGTACCTGGGCAAAGAAAAATGGCTGAAGGTAAGTTAGGAGGCATTAAATGAAAACATTAAATAATATCTATAGCATTATTAATCTTCATTAGTAAGATAGGCTGCAGTCACATTTCATGTCAACCTGAAATACGCAAACCTGAAATGGTGTTATATAAAAAAAATCTAACATTAAAATCTGAACTAGTGAAATTTCTCAAATATTTAAAAATTATCAGGAATCCCACACAATCATGAGCTTTATGGCGAAGTAACATAAATTCTGTTGTAACCTGGTAGCACCGCATAAGCTAATAAACAAAAATCCATGTCACCCGTTGCTAGGATTCACGCAAATCATGTCACACACTAGTTCTGGTGACAACTATATTATTTCAACACTCATTACTATTATCATTTAAATTGATTTAACCTCCTTGTGATGCTCTTCAAGCATTCAAGAGGAGCTGGAGCTCTCGTGCTGGTAACGTGAAAATGAGCACTCTGGAGGAGCGCTAAATGTTGACACGCTACAGGACGACACATTTCTGAGCTCCCTGGCATCACATTTATTCTTGGGGAGATATCGTCTCAAAATACTCAAGTTTTGTCAAGAATTATTCAATACCTTGAAAAATATTCAAGATATTTTCTTGAATTATTCAGTGACCTCCATATAAATGCTAGTGCCCTGAAAGCATTTCAATCACCAACTTATCTTTGGGACCCACAGGCCCAAGGCACTGTGCTCGTGCTATGCAGAGGAAAAAAATGTTAGGATATAAAATATACGAAGATAACTAACATCACAAACATAAAGTGAGTGACAAAAGGCAATGCAGGGAAGTAAATTCATTAAAGCTCAGAGGAGGGAGAAGCTGTTACGTTAGGTTAAACTCGAAAATTTCATGAAAATGATGGCCTTGCAGGCATATATTACATTTAAGTGTATAACTTCTGATTTAATGACAATTCTGCAAGGTGCTCTAGAGATAGGTTGGGAAGAAATAAAAATAGAAAGTTTTTATTTAATAGAAACAGGAAGAGAAAAATCAGCCATATGCAATATGACCATCCATCCACTTAGAACAAACTGTAAATTATGAGTAAGACAGTTCAACAAGGTGGCTAGACACAAGATCAATATAAAAAAGTTAACTGTCTGTAGATCAGCAAAAAAAAAAACCCCATTTTTTAAAAACAGTAATGTTTAGGTGTATCTATCCATTTCTTTAGGTTATTTCAAATGTTTTTCATTGAAGTTTTATAATTTTCTCTATAAAGATATTTAATCACTAGCTATCTTAGATTTTGTTGCTATTCTAATACATTCATGGATAGAAAGATTTCTGTATTGCAAAATGCTAACTCATGCCAAATACACGTACTGATTTAAAGCGACGCCAAACAGTGTCTCAATGGAGCTTTTCACAGAACCTGACACGTAAATCCTTTCTTACTGCTTCTTGCTGAACCTGACCAGCGACCTGAACCTGTGGCATGTTCATCCTCCTATGACCTTCATGACTTAATTACTACGTATGCACCTTGCTTATGCCTGAAATGCTCTGTGACAGCTGCAGCCTGTGGTCTCCCTTTGCCCTTTGGGTCAAGCATATTTAGATGCTGGCCATTCTATGCTTATAGACCCTCCTGATCAATTTTGAGGATCTGCCTGTCATGTGACTGCTGCATGTCGCCTGCTCATTGCCCATGCCTTTAGCCGGTGACACCAATTTTTTGGACCTCCCTATTTCTTGAAGATCTGCCACTGTCCTGGCTCTAGCAGGACATCTGTTGTTCCCAGTTCCTTCCTCTAGCCTTGAAGAGAAAAGCCTTAAAATTAATTAAATAAGGCCTGGAAGCTGTGCTCAGATACTGGTTTAGTTTCCTAAATGCTACTAAGTAAAACAGGTTACCAAATGTTACCAAAAAAACACAAGAGACTATATGAATTCAGCCAAATGTGCCTTCCTAGAGACAAAAATAAATCTACCAATAAGGTAATAACCAATTTCGAGAATTTGAAAACTATCGAAACCTTGAAACAATATGCTAATGTTTTATTTCCAACTCTTACCCGCTGCAAAAACTCAACAGGACTATATTTAGGCCCCAAGACAAAAATTTTCTTTCCTCTTCGAGCCACACCACTGAATACCCGAGCAAATGCAATGAAAGTCTCTTGGTTGTTTCCTTCCTGTGGCACAGGTGTCGGGGTCATACTCTCCACTTGTTGCTCATCACCTGCCAGAAACAAAAGGATAATGAATGCCAAGAATGCTCTCTCCACTCCAAGAACTGCCAGGAAACAGGGAACAGTGAATAGGATATAAATTTGGCCCAGTCTCAGGAAAGAGACACCAAGAATGAAAGGATACTGATAAAACCTACAATTAAGGCTAGAAGCTGGAGTGCTAAAGGATGAGTGTCCCACATTAAGTAACAACTATTTTACACCAAAGCCTACGTAAGAAAGATGTACCTTTTGGGTCCTCTCCCTCTGGACTTGTTGCAAGGGCACCCCCATCTGGGGCGGACTCCACAGGCACCTGGCCCTGCGCTGCTGCGAGCTTCTCCGCGTGCCTCTGTCTTGCACGCTCACGCCTCTGAGCAATTTCTTCTTGTGTGAGAGGTCTACAGGATACCACAAACGTGTTAACATCTGGCAACATCAAGCATCTCAGTCCACTCACACAAAGAAACAGCAGGTATTAATGTGGCTGGGTAAGACAGCAGGTGGTCCCAGGTCCCTTCACGGAGGTTTCTCCAAGTCCTCTCCCTAACTGTGGCAACAGGAGAGATGGCCTATCGGGCTTTCTCTGAGGATGCTGTGTCCCCAGCTATTCTGAATTATGAACCGACATGCAAGAGCCAATATCTCCACAATGCGCCTTACACTACAGCACGGACCTTTCTCAGATACCCACACTCCCAATGCACCCCCACCAAATGTAAGCCATTTCCCCAGCCCAGCCCAACTTCCCCCACGCCCTTACCTTGGCTTGTTCTGAGGCAAAGCCTTAGCGTCAACTGCGAACATTTTGGAAACAAAGATAATAACTGGAGCAGTATCTTCACTTCCACATTTCATGAAAGCTGAACGAGCGAGAAGAGAAATGTCACTTTCCCCCCACTATTAAAAATCCATTTTTCTACAAAACAATTAGATGTTTAGACGATGGCATCACTTAAATATATAAGCAGCCTATAATCTTTTACAACCACGATAAAAATTCCATTTAAAAAAGTATAAAATTGCCAGAATAGAGCAAGAGCAAGCAAAACTGGCAGAAATGAGGCAAGAAAAGCAAAATTAAAAGGGTGAGAGGAGGGCTGGGGCAACCCCTAAATAGAGCTGCGGCAAGGAAACAGGGTGCCCACCCCGCAAGCCCTCACAGATTTCCCCTGGACCCAGTGGAAGGGACAGAACTGAGGAATGTTACCAAAGGTCAGGGGTCAACAGGCAGCACTTGAACAAAATAGATAAAAATCAATAGCTTTTTCCAATCCCCACAATAACAAGTCAGAAAACAAAACAGGCAAAAATATCTTACCATGACAGTAGTGACAAATCTTAGAATTAAAATCCTTTATTACAAAGACATCAATTTTCCCTAAATCTATAAATTTTACACAACTTCATAGCGACACACTAACACTTTTCTTAACCTACACTGGAGGTACAGAAGTATTCCTTAGTAATTTTTTAAAACTGCCATGTCAAAAAATTGTTATGTAAGTTAAAGAATTCATCAGTAAAATGTGAACCAGAAAAAACATTCTGGAAGTCAGAATTAAACATGTACCAGAAGTCTTGCCTGGGAAAGCTCTGAAAGGTTTTGAGGAACAGAATGACACATCCAACCTTACACGTGAACAGATCGCTCTGGCTGCAGGGCTGACAAAACACTGAAGGGGAATCCAGAGCAGAAGCTTGACTTTTCTGTCTGAAAGCTATTACAATGACAGAGAGGCGGAAGTGGAAATGCTGAGAAGTAGCTGAACTGTGGCTATATTTCAAGGGAAAAATAACAGGATTTGCAGATGGACTGGATGCAGGCCTGCGAGATGAGCCATGGATAACTCCGAGGCTTTTGGACTGAGCCAATGAAAGAATGGAGGTCCCTAGAGCTGAGATGGAATAACCAGAAACAGGCTGGGAGAGAAGACAAGAAGCCCAGCTTGGGATAGGTTGTTTGCCATGCTTCTTAGCCGCGTGGAGAGAGGGAGTGTGCAACCGGACAAAAGAGTGTGGAGTTCAGGGAACACATCTGCACTGGAGACACAGATGTGGGGATTATGAACACAGCCTTGTCATGTGAAGCCTAGAGAATGGATAAGATCACCTGGAGAGTGGATGCAGATAGAAAACAGGTAAGGTCAAAACACTGAACCTTGCTTGGGGACATCTCAGTTAACAAGTCAGGGAGATGGAGAGGAACCGGAAAGAGATTAAGAATAAGCGGACAGGGAGAAAAGTAGAAGCACGTGGAAGCCTGGAAGTCGAAGGAAGAGTCTCAAGAAAGGAGTGACCAGTTGTGTCGAATGCTTCTGACAGATCTGGTCAGGTGATTTAACAAGGACAGTAAACAGTGGCCCCGAGAACAGGAGCACAGTGGTTCTGGGGGTGGAACATCCAATTCAGCAGAATGGGTGAAGTGGAAACAGTGAGTGCACACAGGTGAGTACCGTGGAGCTTACAGAGGCTGGAATGGGAGGCACCCCTCTCCAGGGAGCATATGCGCAGGGCTTCTAAGGAGCCACACAGCCCCTGGAACCCTAAGGACACAGCCATGGCGGCGACGCAGCAGCTCACGGACACGGTCCTGGCTGTTTAGGAGTATGAAATATAGCATCATGATGAGATTATGAAATGAGATCAGCGCAGAAAGGAGTCTCAGAGTTTCTGGTCTCCCACCCCACTAGTGGAAAACAAATGGCTATAGAAAAAAATTAAAACCTTTGGAGAAAAACCGGTGAAAGGGTCATTTGTAAAACTTTATCTGTGGAGGTGGACATGTGACAACTTATCGTTCAGCAGACTGGCAGTCCACAAACTGGTCTAGAGCAGCCTTGCTTAGGACAATCAAAAAGAGGATGCATGCTATGCTCATCTTTACCTCACCTGCTTTGAGTGCCTGGGTTTCCGGTGGAAGAGAGTCAAATGTGTGTGATCCTGTACACATCAGTTTCTCTACTCTCTCGGCAGTAATATCGAGGGGACTAGGAAGTTTCTGACACACCATAGCTGAAGTCTGTTGTTAAGGATTCAAAACCTTGAGCAAGGGCCCTCCACCAAGGTACAGATCCACAGTGTGCACTAAACATCGAGGGAACAACGTATGTCTACGGAAAACATCTGGGCTGTAAGGCAACGTTACTGTATGTGTCATGTCTCAAAATGGATATAATTCCAGGAACTTCATGGACTCCCTAAAGCCCAGGAAGGATTCTTACAATAGCTATCCTAATATGCTGATGGCCCACGAAACAAGAGATGACAACAAAGCTTACTAGCTTAGCTACCTGTGACCATGAAATCCTGATAATTTTTCATATGGTTTCAGTCTATATACTTTTATAGAACCAACAGCCACAAGCTACGATACAAGAAAGTCCCCTACCAGAGCAAGTGTCACTGTAGGGGTAGGTGTCCATCAGAGCTCTGGGCTGAGCTACCACAGCTGGTCCACTCCCAGGACACTGCACCCCGCCCCTCCGCTCCTATGCACCCCATGGACATTGCCTGTACACAAAGATCAATGAAGATCATTTAAACTCATGTGTTCAAATACTTGGGTTACATTAACTGTAATCAAGTATTTTTGTGATCACTAACATGATGGGAAACAGTAACATACTGACACTAGATGAAATGGTGATCTAATGCAAACATCTAAATTCTCTAATATATAAATCTTAGTAATATAAAATTTCTATTTTCACAGCTAATGAAATAAAAATAAAAGAATATATGTTCTTAAAAGAATATTCTTTTAGACTGGTATTAGTATGACTACTAATAAGTATTAATATATTAATTTTTAAAGCGTTAAAGTTTCATAGGAGAATGCTAAATAACCACAGAAAACTTACTTTGGACTAGAATGCATTATTTCTAGACAATTTCCTGGCTGCCAATCACAAGTTCCTTTTTCTTGTTTTGTCAAAACTACTTCACTAAAAGCCACTGAAATAAAGGATACCAAGAACAGCGTGCGCTATAGGCAGCCACTGACTGCAGATGGCACTGAGCTGGACTTTAGGGTCTGAATGTCGTGCTTCCCGGGCTCCCATCTTCAATCCTAAAGAAGTCACTATTTTATCAATTTTTTCTTTGTCCCTACAGTAAACACACAAGATTGGGGGAGGGGTCACACAGGTGTGAAGGAGCAGCACAAAAAAAGAATGCAACATCAATACATCTATTCCTAATGCACTACTTTTTCTACGGAAAAATCAACAGAAACGATCAAAAGGGGCTCCTGCTACTACATTAGAGGACCGCTCAATCTCTGCTCTCATGCTGTCAAATGAGCCTTTAAAACTTCCCATAAAGCACCATTAAACAAATGATGTCAAATGGTGACACGGTTTTACAAAAAAAATGCTTAAAAGGCATTATTCCAACTCTGGTAAAACACAGAAAGTAAATTTACTAAAGCAAACTTTCTTTTCCACTTGTATCAGGCAAGTTTTCTCCCAAGTTCCTCATTAATGATCACAGGTATCAAGAACCCTTTTTTTTTTTTTTTTACTATAATTACTATTTTATTTTAAACTAGCTTTATAAAAGCAAAGGTCCAATGTTTCTCTGTCCTTTTATCTGTTCCCCTCGGCACTCTGTAACATTGCTATTTTGTCCCTCCTGTTACCTTTGACTTGGGCTACACATACCCCTGTAAACTGTCTCCAGCTCCTGAAATCGACTCATCTGTAAAGGCTTTCTTTACTTTCCCTGTCTACGTCAGCTTTCCCAAGTGTGATTCACTAAAATAGGAAGTGAGGCAAATTATCCTGTCCAAAGATAAAGTTTTATAACAGTCTTACTTTTTTAAGACAGCATCATATAAACTCCATATATTTTCCAGGATTAGCTGTACAAATAATGGTTTCTTTCCTTTTGCCTATAAAAAAGAATATACATGCATAAGTTTCCAAGTATTTAACAGGTATCTTAAATATTCATTCTTATATTTTATTACCAGTAAGTCTCATTTCTACCAGAAAATATTTATCCAACAGTAAAAAGGAGGAAAGTAGTTATAATAACCCACTGTTCTCTTACTGTGGGAACTATGGACTTCACAAATGATGAAACCATTTGGGGGACTTATCACTGCAGCTGCCCCGCCACTGACATTAAAGGAACACACAGTACCGAAGCTGAGGGCTAAAACTTCCCTCTGCGTGTGCAGGCCTTTCCCTGGACTAAAGGCTAATGATGTTCTTAAATAGGAAAAACACTTAACTTCAAGAAAGAGGCTATTAAATAAACAAAAAACCGACCGGTTCTCTTAAACTATGCTAAATAAGAGCAAGAGCACCCCGAGATGGATTCTCTCAGAGACATGAGATGGAACACGAACCGATACTGCCCTTCTCAAGAGCCACCGCTAAGTAGTAGGAAATTACGTCGTTACCTTTGAATGCTTGGTTTAAAAAAAAGTCATCAAGAAGCCATAAAAACTTATGCACAAACATGCCCACCATAGCTTTACTTTTAATACCAAAACATTTAAAAGACAAAAACAAAAACTATGTCTCCAATCTTAGGAGAGTGATTCCATGAAGCACTCACAAAACAAAATAACAACAAGGTACTTATTATGTGACAGGAACTGTTCTCAAGACTTTTCTCAGATGGTTTCATATAATCACAACCAGAGGTAAGTACGATGACCTCCATTTTGCAAATGAAAAACCTAGATACAGGTCACAAAGCTAGTGAATGCTGCAGCTGAGATTTAAGCAGAGACGGAATCTCAAATCAGCTCTTTCCCACTTCACACTGGCTCCTTTTTAAATACACTGTTTATAAAAAGATTTCTCAGGCAAGGGAAGATATTCATGATTTTTTTTTTTTTAATTTAGATATAACATCAAGCGAAAAAGCAGCTACGTTATATAAACAGCATAATATCAACTGAGGGATATATGCATCTATCCAAAAAGAAAAAAAATAAATTAAAACCATAGCATTAGCATTGTTGGCTTCTGATTTTTTCTTTCCTGTGCCTTTATAGTACTTTCTAAAAGGAACATATATGCTCTTTAATGAGAATAATATACAAAATCCTGAATTTTACATTAAAAGTGTCAAGAAAAGTATCATTTGAGGCTACGTGACTCAGCGGTCAGTCCTACATTGCCTCTACCTACAGAAGGAAGGGTTCCAGGGAGCCCCTGCTTCTCCCCATTACCACTCATGGTGACTGGCATTAGTAAGAGATGCCTCAGCTGAGACTAGGAATACACTGTGGGCCATACAGTGGTGTGTAAAAGAGACGTCTCCTTAACGGCGAAAGGGACACACAAATGCATGATGCAAAATGTGTGTCTTCGAGTGACCAGGACGAGAATTTTGCTACCCCCCAATAATAATCATTTATTATCTATATTTAAAGAACTCTACTTAAGCAATACTTGGATCTGACTCATGAGCTTTAACCAAATATATACAGTTAAAAAGTCCTTCAGGAACTGACACCAAAGCCAAATTACATCCTATGAAGTGTGACAGTAAAGGTTTTCTTGGGGCAAGAGCGTAACCGACATTCAAAAGGAAGGTATGCACATTACCTGATCAACCTTCATGATCTTCTTAGCCTTCATATTTATATAATAATCTCCCCACAATGTTTTCAAAAGAACTTCCTTTTTGATGCCAATTTTTTGACTGTAGATCTTGGCAAAGTGCTCAATTCTGAAACGAAAGCGTTAGGTTATTAATAACAACAAGTATGGGTATAGCTGACACTGGAGTGTTTCTGTGCCAGATACTGTTCAAAGTGCTTCAGATGTATTACTAACATAATAATTTCAACTCACCTACAAGGCAGGTACAAATTATCTCCTGTTTTACAGAAAAGGATAAAGAAGCACATAGATATTTATAGGTCATAAGTGAAGCTGGGCTTCAAACCCGAGCATCTGACCCGAGCCTGTGTTCTTGTCCAATCATCTCTACATGCACATGAATCAGACCCCACGTTACAGCTCCCATTCTTAACTGCATGTATAAACACGGGAGGAGGGGCAATGGCCAAGGAAATCCAGGCTCTAGTTGCCCATTGCAACTGTGCCAACAAAAACGGCTTCAGCCATTCACTGCTATAGCTGTCTGTTCACAAAGAGAATGAAATCTAGCCAGAACCTGCCAAAAAGGGCTTTTCAGCATCCACGATTAAACCCCAAACACATGCACTTAACTCCCTCAGCTCTTAGAGAAACCAGTTAGCGCCAGGTCTGCTCTCAGCCATGGGAGGGCAGTCACCTGACAAACATGGGTGCTGCTGTACGTAGTGTCTGCATTGTCTGGATAAAGGACCTAAAGGAAATCTTTTCTGCAGGGGACAGTATGTTTAACCAAAGGTTTGAGTCCAACTCTCAAAGCACCAGCATCTGAAAAGATGCAGTTGCTACTTTATCCACTGCAGAAGGAATCCAAAGTTAACATACTCTAGACTGTTCTTTACACATCAGTCAGCAATTGTGGTACTGCTGGAATCCAGAAGTTAACCACGACTCAGTCCAACGAGCTGACACTCTCTGATGAGACTGGAAGCCTGGTGAGGGTGATAAGCTGAAGGAGCAGGAGTTAATAATTATGGTTGGAAGCAAGAATGTGAAGAGCATCAGGCAGCAGCGTAGAAGCAAAAGCAGGCACTGCAGAAACTGCTAACGATAAATATCCAATCCCCTTTCAGTGAGGGCCAAGGGACAAAAAAATACCCACTCAAGAATCAAAATTCAGATTACACAGTAACAGGCTGTTGACACTGTGGAGCTGACCTCAAGGGTCCGTTACTTTCAAAATTACTCACTATGGTAAACTTTATTTCCCATTTGATCCAACAGTAATTTATTTAGCAGAGCGACTTTTTAAATTTTCCAAAACTTTACTTCCTATTACTTAATAATTATTATGTATAAACAAATGACACAAATTACAAATTACACATTATTCCTACAATAACTTATGTAATCATGAGTTATGTTATTATTACTACATTATCTATAATCCTTTTGTCCTTCTGAAGAGAGAACCCGTCTTCTCTGCACAGGTTCTCGGCTCGCTCCACTGTCTGACAGCTCTCCCAGCACACAGGGCTGAAAGGGCACGCCTGGTCTCGCGCCCACTTCAGTCACTACTCCACAGTGAGGATGGGGCCAAGGGCCGACACTCACTGGGCAGAGCTCCTGGGCCTCAAAAAGAAAGCAGGTCTTGTCCCGCTGACGACTCCAGGGGTTAGTAAATTGAGAACTCTGTATTTTTTCTTACAATTGTCGTGCAGCTACTATAACCTCGAAATAAAAAGTTCAATTTAAAAAATCAGTTGCAACTTCTGAGGGAAAACGTTCGTTCCAGTTTGTTCTGGGTTGTATAGCTTGCCTTCACCCAAGGTTCCAAATAACCTGCTCTGGGGAGAGAAGAGGAGCTTTGCATAACTTGTTGGCTGCTGACCAAACTTTTGGGTCCCTTTTGGCAGGGGGAGTTGGCAAAGTGATACTATTTTTAGAAGGTAAGTAACTGCCCTGTAGAGGAAATCAAACGGTAGGAGAGGGTGGAAACGTAAATTCCCAGGCAGAACTGCAGACTCTTAACAACCGGTGGAGCAATGGAGTGTCCCACTGCCCGGTGTCCAGTGGGATTTATGAGCAACTGCAGAAGGCACTGAGCACGGGTAGCTCTGTGACGACAGCACAGTCCATGGGCCTGGGAGGCCCAGAGACCCTTCCAGAAGGCCTATGAAGTGAAAAACTGTATAATGAAACTAAGACGTTGCCTTGCCTTTTGCACCATTCTCAAGTAAACTGGGTTTTCTAACTACATAACTGAACGAACAGAAAGCAGAAACCCTTGAGAACCTAGGTGTCTTTATTAAAGATGTCCACTTCTGATGTATTTATGAATTATAATAATGATAACCATATAAAAAATCGCTTGTGTATCAAATGCACAGAGATGTAACAGATGCAAACAGACTCACCCGAAGCCCCACCCGTCGACTGCACTTGTGAACACCACATTCCCCTGGTCTGGAGAGAAGTAAAGGTGGGAATCATCCGTGTCCTCCAAGCCAGCACTCCAGTCGTACACTTGCTCTCCCGGGTCAGAATTTGGGTTCCCCTGGGATTCGGTCTCTCTCTCTGCTCTTTCTTCTAGGACTTTAGAAGTAAAAAGAGTTCCTGTGAGCGCATTAATCTAGAAGAGATGGTGATACGGCAGACTGTCATTCAATGCTTAGCATGCCCATAGTGAGAGACACCCTGCCTAACCATTAAGCCAAGAGCCATCTGTCAGTCACAGTCTGGGCTCATATTAATAGTAATATGGCATTTATAATAATTAACTTACAAGTTATCAGCCCATTCTTTCTCGACCCAACAAAAGTAAAATCATTTTTGTGATTATTCGTTTAGTGCAAACACTGTTAAAGTCACAACTTTAACTCCAGGCCTGGTGTCACTAGGAACTCAGTTTCCACCCCGACAACCCTAGTTTACAGCCTTAGTCAAGTCCCTGGCCACTTCACACACCAGCTGTTTGAACTTTTCACCACTCTCTCCGGGCCTTCTTCCCAAACTCCAACTCCCAAGTAAGTAATCTTATTTCCTACCTGAGAGAGAAAACAGAGCCTATTATCCAGAAATCCTGCAAACTCCCCATATTCCAACCCGTCAGCCTGTCTGTATCTGCAAACCCGCCGGCCCTGCTCCTTCCACTGCGAGGCAGGGGCATTTCGCCTGTGTCCGTCTCTGTCCGTCTCTACAGGGAACGAGACCCACTGATCCACTTTTTCCACTGCTCTGCCTTCATCATTCCCTCCCTTCGGCAAATACATTTTAAGTTGGTCTCATCAATGGTGCTCCATTTTCTTGAAGAAGAGTTCGAGCTCAATGCACGGCATAGAGGCTCACCACACGCTAAGGCCTGGCTGCCTTCCTCCTCATACCTCCTGGCCCTGCTCACCGTGCTCTAATCTGTTGGCTGTAAAAGACAATCTGCACCTCTCTGGGTGAAACACTGTGCTGTGTTTTCTCGCCTTTATGACTTTGTGCATCCTGTCCCTTCTCTCTCAAACGCCCCTGCCATAATTCTCTACCTGCATACACTACCTTCTGTTGCAAGATTTTCCCTAACTCTCTCCTCCCTCTCACCTGGTCTGGGTGAGGTGGTCCTCACCATGTTCTTGAATCACACCAGGGCTTATCTCACTGTTCTCCAAATGTCTCCTTTAACTGTTTGTCTCCCCTACTACACTGTGAGATTTTGAAAATAAAGACTCTGACTTGTCTGTCCTTACATTCATAATACTCAGCACACAACGAATATCCAAGAATTCATTTATTCAACATATAGCTATATAAATGTTTCCTGAATAAATAAATTTAAAAATACTTGGGTAAAATTCCATTTAAAGACAGGTCATAAAAAAAAAAACAAAAAGTCTCCTATCATCATTCCATTTTGGAACCAAACTACAAGGTTTAGACCAGAGAGCATTAAACCATAGTTGAGAAGGTTTCCAGGGGTAGGGGGCTCCTGAAAGGATGCCTGTCCTGTTCCCTGTGTTGTAGTATAACTGTAATACACATGAATCTTAAGCGGAAAAGGTCTAAATAAGAATTTTCTATAGCAATGCCAAACACACAACTTAGCAACTTCCTTACAATGATACCTCCTTGAGTCCCAATTTTTAAAATACTGATGTAAAGGGTAATACCTGCTCCAAAATATTCTTGAGGTGAGAATACGCCTCCTGTGGGGTGAATTTCAGTTCCACTATCAAGCGATCTATCTTATTAATCACTAAAACTGGACGGATGTTTTCGAGCCAGGCTTGTCGTAGAACTGCCTGTGTCTGATTAAAAGAGAAAGGAAAATATGAAACTCATGATTCAAAAAAATTAAAGCACATTGGAATATTCTGAATCAGTTAATTTCCTTCATCACAACTGAGACTACACAAGAAATCATCCTTGCCTTTATGGAACTGGGGAGAGAGACAGACAGACAGAGACAGACACTCACACACACACTTCACTGAATAATTAAAAAATAAACACTTATGTTGACGACACACAGGTCAAAAACAGAACATGCCCCCAAAGTCCCGTGTATACTTTCCCAACCATAACCCCATGTCTTAGAGCTAACCACTGTTGTGCTATGTGGAAATCAGGTGTGTTAATTTCACTTAGGACACCTAGGACACTACAGACCAAGGATGCGCTTCTTAAGCTGAGGTGCCTGTTGCGCCTTTAGGGGAAATCGGAGGAGAAGGTATTTGATAATTATAGCACATCTTCTTGGAATTACCAACTTTCCTCCATTTGAGTCATTAAACCTTTTATTATTCTTTTTATGAAACAAACAAGGGTATATTAAGAAGTAGAACAAAAGTAGAATGAAAAAGGTGACAACATGTTAAAGATAAAACATAAGGTTTCAAGAAAAATTGTTAACAGAGCTGAGCTTCATGAGCTCCATACCCACTGGAGCCAAATGTTCACTCTAGCCTTAGGAATGAACTTTTTCAGCTTTGATGGAAAAGATGAGAAACACTAGATTAAGGATATAGAAGTGTAGGAGAGGGAAGAAGGGGAAGGGAGAGGACAAGTGCAGATTAAGAAGTGAACAGAGGAAGATGTCTGTTGTCTCGGGGAAAACTAGCCCAGGATTTTGCTATAAACAACCTCTCACAGTACAGAAACCCTTTCCATTGGATTAAAACCACCCGATCGTCCCCAAATTCTTTTCTCCCATTTCTGCTGAGTCCTTCCGTAAAAGGATATCAGAGGCATTTCAAAATATCTAAAGTCACCCTAAGATCCCTTCAAAACTCAGGTGATTTAACTCTATCACAGACTGGAATATTATCAAATGTGAAATGGCAAATCAATGTCTGATCATTAGTGAAATATCTGAAAAGGCACACAGTAAGCAACAGTCAGCTCCTCCTCTTTCCCCACCTTCCCTAACCAGTTAAATGTTTTCACACCGCAGCCCACACTACCTGTGGACAGACCCCTTCCACAGCATCGACCACAATGATGCATCCATCGCAGATGCGAACAGCCGTTGACACTTCTGAGGAGAAATCCACGTGTCCCGGGGAGTCTATGAGATTAATCAGGTACTCCTCCTTACCTGAAATGAAATTTGAGAACACAGATTGTCAGCTGTGCAGTATACAGTACTGTTCCTCGAGCACTCCAGAATAAGAAAGCATCTAAGAAATTACTGTAAAGCTAAAGGAGGTGAAGGCTCAGTCAGCAGCTACCATTCTAACTTAGGCTGTCATTCCAACTCTCATTAATGAGCTACTGATTCCAAACAGCATCTACATAAAACGATCAAAGACTTCATTATTCTATCAGTTACCACTTATCGAGGCCTACTGTGAGCCAAGCACTGTGCTAAATAAACACTTTTAATGTGCTAATCACATTACTGAGTCCCTGCAATGACCCTATTAGATAAATTATTACTATACTCATTTGACAGATTAGCAAGTTGAGACTACAAGAAGCCAATAACGAAGAGGGAAAGCTGTATAAGGGGGCCAAAACAGGAAATAACAACTTGAAAAGACACAGAGCAGTTGGCCAAATTCTTCCCTACGACTTCTCAAAGCGCAGGCATGAAGCTGCTCAATTGAAATGCAGGTTCAATTCTGTAAAAATCTGAGTACTACTATGTGCCAAGCCGTGCTCTGTGCTCTCACACACGTTATCTCCTTCAATCCTCACAACAGAAGAATGAAGCTCACAGCAGGGTGACCGCTCACGCTGATCTGTCTTGCTTTAGCGCTGGAAGTCCCACGCCCTACTAACCCTAAGTCAGTGCCAGGCAAACCAGAACAACTGGCCACCCCAGGGTACAGAGACTTTACATTAAAACCTGAGTAAGTACACCACGCAGAAAAACAGTAATTCGGTAGATTTCTACGCTCACTCCTCCATTTACTGCTAATTTGATATAGTTCTCTTATAAATGCAAAATAATTATTTGAACGCTCAAATACCTGCATATATACTTTATGTCTGCTCCTCCTCTTGGCCCAGTGTTTCTCACCTTCTGTGGGCTCCAGAACTACCACAGGGATGATCATAACAACATGGGTCGTTTAAGGGATTTTCCCCATTGTAATTTTTATGACTTGAGGATGTGACCTGTGCCCTAGGTCATACTGGTAACGATAAAGCCACCACCGCCACCAAGGACAGAGCTCAGATCTGTGGACCGCCTGTGTGTGCCTGGATTGTTTTAAGTGTATTATATACACTATCTAATGCCTACTCACAGCAACCATCTGCAGTATTTACTACCATTAGCCCGATTTTACAGAGCAGGACATCAGGGCACAGAAGTACCTTTCTCAGAGACATTCCAGCTAGAACCCGATTCTGAGGTAAACTGTCTAAGATCAAATAATTCAAAATGGTAGAGAGGAAGTTCAAACCCATCTAATTCCAAAGACATACCTTTAACCACTACAGTTAAGATGGCATGAATTTCATCTCACAAGCCAAGAGGCCACTGGCAGTGAACTTCTGAACACTAGGTTAAGGGTTCCAAAGTGCATGGGTGGGAGGTGGGGGGAGCAGGTGTGAACTGCCAGTTGTTCTGCCCACAGGTCAGCCACACGTCCCCAGCTGGAACCATGTCTGGATAGCCTGACTGACAACAGATCATTTGGAGAGGCCAGACTGCTATTTGTGGAACACGAAGCCAAGAAACTAAGGCATGCATTTAAGGCAGGAAAAGAAACAAGAACATGCAAGATTCAAAACTGTTCTTCTTTAAAAGACAAGTTGGTTTACCTTTTGCATAAAGCAGTGAAATGGCACTGGATTTCATAGTGATACCTCGGACCTGTTCATCTTCTCTGCTATCCATGTACCGTAACTGCAAAAATGCAAAGTATGCACCCTTAATTCCCAATGAATTAAAATATAACATTAAAATAAACTGATTTGGACTTTTGTTTTAAATACTCACATTATAAACTAAAAAATCATTCACATTTTTCTAAAGGGGGAGGCACTGGAGAGGGAAGTTGTCATGGGGAAGAGAACATAGACAAATTGAAAGACATTACCACTTTCTAAATCTATTCAAGCATGCATATCCTCTCCAGAGAGCTGCTCATTCAAATTTCAGCCATGATTGATTGGGTAGTCCATGAACGATTCACAGAAGGTAATGACAGGGGGATTCCTTCTTCATCAAGAACACCCACTGTTTTCCTATTCACAGGCTTTCTGACAGAAGTCTGAGCAGAGATTCAAACAGAAGGTCTCTCTAGAGGCAAGAGAAGCCTTCACTCCCTTTCCCAAATTAGCAGATTTTAAATACACTCTCAAAAACAGAACTGTAGGGTACAAGATATTTCTAACATTACCACTTAGCTGTTGGCTTTCACAAAGCGTTAATGCCAACAGATAAGGACCTGAATCTTTTTCCAGGCTTTGCACTGACAGTGGCTTCACTTAACTGGAAAACCTACCCTCCCCAGCTCCTCAAACCGAAGCACCTCACTAACCTCCCTCCTCCCTCTGCAGAATGCTCTGCCTTACTTCTCCCTGCCATCAAACCTACATTTACTCATTTCCTTCATTCGAGAGCCTTAAGGATAATTTATTGACATGGGATGGCCACATTTATTCATCCCACACTAATTCCTTAATTGTCAGAAAGGCTTCCATTTCCATAGCTCTGGCAAAACCAGACTTCTAAAAGCTACCAATGGCTTCTGGCCAAACACAATAATCTTTTCCAATCCTCACTCTTCTTGATTTGTGTGGTATTAAGCATAGTTAACAACCCTTTGTACACACATGTGCTCACATGCATATGTGAAATTTCCAGGAGTCTAAAATCTCCTGGCTTCCTTCCTATCTCTCCTTAGATCCCACTGCTGGCTCCCCCTTCACTTCTCCAACCTCCCAGAAAGGCATTCTGCTATTCTTCTATACACGTTTCTTCTTTCAGTCACCTATGTGTTTTTTCACTCAATTTTGCTTCTCCATGTCCTCTCTCTGTCCTCAGTTACCTGATAGTGCTGATTATGTCCTGAATTCATCGAGGGAAGGAATATCTCTATTTCTCTCCTGCAAGTAAATTATCCAAGGCTTTTTAAAGCACAGCTAGAAACAAAAATCTCCTCAACTTCATTTCCTATAAGACACGATTTTCATCGTGCCCCTCAGGCTTCAGAAGCCTTCCTGTGGTACGCAGGCTAGCCTTCAAGGTCTCCCATGAGCTGGCAGAGCCTCGCTATCTGCGTGTTCTATCCCAGCAGTCTCTTGACATAAGCTCCTCTCAAACCAAGCACAACTCACAAATTAGCCCTGTCCCCCTTTATCCATATTATTTCCCCCTAACGGTTTCTCTACCTTCTCACCCAAGTCACTCACCTGGGGAGAATCTTTTCCTCTCTGAAAATTTCCACAATTGTGCCAGGATATCATCTGACTACTTACACTTATATTAGTATCAGGTAAAATGAATTGGCAGCTTCTTAGATGCATGAACTATGCTTTACACTTTTTTTTTTTTTTGGCTTTCTAAGAACACAACAAATCGTTCATCACTTTGTAGATAGCTAATACCTACTGAAATGTAACAAGTATTTACCATATACAACAACATACCTTGCCTGCCAGGCGGCTGGAGATGATTCCATTGCTAGATATGAGACAGTCAGCAAGAGTAGTTTTTCCTGTTAAAATAACAGCAGTAATTCAAATCTACCTCTTTTTTAAGGAGAAATGGATTTTATCTACAGATTTAACATCTAACCATAAAAGTTGGTTTAGCAACGGTCTCGTATTTACGTATACTGAGTGAAGAATACGTTAACAGGCATGTTAAAAAGTTCAATTAGACTTCTGAAGAGAACATCTATCTGGAAGGACACAGATTCTAGCACTCTATAGTGCTGACCGTGCATCTCTAACTCCGTAATCCCATCAACCTCAACTCAAAAGTTGCAGAGCGACTTTTTTTTTTAGAGTGCAAAACTTTTTGGAATTGAAGCTAATTTACACAGAATAAAATGCAGTTAAAGGCTGACACAAAACCGTGCCAATCAAAATATAGAACACCTGACAAACTTTCACTAAAGTTCGTAGTTACTAAAATCTGTCCTACAAGAATTTGACCAAGTTTATTCTAATTACGATTTTAACCATCTGATATGTGTAACAGTGACCTTGCCTCTAAACCTAAACCTTTGATAGCTCAGAAAGACAAAAGGATAGCACAGCAATAACTTAGTTCTTTGAAGGGTATACCAAGTAAAGCAAGACTACAGACAAAGTCATTTCAAAAATTCTTATTTTAATGAAATCTCAAGTTCTCACTTAAGAAAACGATGCAATTTTACAAGAATGCTAATCACTAGTTAGCTGTCTTTATTTTAAATGTTTAACAGCGAGCTGCTCTGACATCAAAATTTTAAAGGAAATAAGAGTTGCTTTTTAGCGAGCATCACTGTCAACTGCCCACAGCGTCACTCCACTGACACAGGTGGAGTCACACCCTTAATTACTTAAAATAAGCCACTTAAAAAGAATTCTTACCATGGTCTACATGAGCCAAAACACAGATATTCCTGATGTTAGCAGTGTTTTTCTGGAGTTGAATCATCTTATCCAAACTATTGAGCACCATGGCTGCTTATTCCCTGTAAATGAGAATTGCGAAGTATTAGGAAGGGCACAAGGGCCGAAGGGCGGGGTTTGTTAAACGCCGGGAGCTGACAAGACTCGGCTAGGGAGCCGCGAACCGAGAACCCGGCGAACGTGTCCGGACGGGATCCGCCCGCCGGGCCCAAGTCCCAGGGGAGCGCCTGAGTCAACACCGTGTCACGGCCGGACCCGAGGAGCTCGCTCAACCCTCGGGCGCGACGGGCGCGATGGGCCATGCAGCGCCAGGGATGGGGGCACGGACGAGCGCTCGGGCCACTTCTCCAGGGCTACGACCACAGGGAGGACGGGTGGCAGATAGGAGGGTGGCGTGAGGGGGACGCCGACGGCCCACCCCTCCCCCCGCGGTCTCCCCCGAGTCTCCCCTTGCACCCCGCTCCCGCGCCTCCCCCGAGGTGACGTGCCCGGCTCGTTACCGCCCAGAGCCCGAGTAAAGTCGGGGCCCTGAGCTCCGCCATTCCCCGCCGAGAAGAAAACACCTCAGCCCCACGTTCGTTCCTCCGCCGCTCTCCGTGGGGTCCCGGGTCTGCACCCAGAGGCCGTTCCCAGCCCCGCTCGCCCCTGCCGGCTGCGGCGCCCCACTTCCCCACCCCGCTCAGAGCCGACCCACAGGGCCCCCGGCGCGGCCCGCACTCACCCGCCGGGACGCCGCACCCCGCCACACACCGGCTTCTGAGGCGCCCAGAACTCAGCCGGTCCGGAACCGGCGCGCGG